CCTTTTTCATTCGACATACTTTATCTTAATCAGGATATTAATAATGAACTAGCAGATCATGTAGCTTTTGGAATAATCCACCAATTTTTTAAAATTAAACACTATCTAAAGATTTGCATCGAAGCGTTTTTTTTTTATAGTGATTTTAATCACTGTCAGATATCATTATACTTGATCCAACTATGCCACGTCACCACTGTGCCGCGACCCCCCTGTGCTGGGTTTTTAATTCTAAATAATTGGTAAATTGATTTACCTAGTTTTTATATTTGAAAAATATTCAGCGACGTTAAAAAATGATCAATCTTTTTATTTGATAAATTTCTTATATACTTCCGAATTTTTGGAAGTATAAATAAATAATGTTTTGAACGCAAAGATATAAATAAATGTTGCACTGTGTATGTTGACGAAAAAACGAGATCGCGACTAATAATTCTTCATACAAATAAGAGGATTCAAGTAAACTTTAACACACACTCTTCTATGAGAAAATGCAGCCTTTATATAAGGTATCTAAGTACCCCCAATCTAGAGACTTGTCGTCAGCGCTTTTAATGTTTATAAATTTAGTGCGATAAATGTTAAGGACTACATGATTTTTATTTTTATACACATTTTTTTGATATATGCCTGATAATGATTACATTGATATATATGCAATTAATAAGAAATTGTGTACAGCAGTGTAATTTCGCTCGTTCCCCGTAAATGGGGAAAATCTCCAAAAAAATTACAAATTAAAAAATTGCTCATTTTTTCAATTTTTTTTCTTAAAACTGCCATAACTTTTTTAAAAATAACCAAATCAATATCATTTTTATCTTCGATGCGAAGCTGAGAAGGTATTGGTTTTACTAAGATGTGTTTTTTTTTTTTTTTTTTGTGTCTGTATCCACTTTTTCTCAGCTCTTATCAGATTAAATTCTTTTAACGATATGTCAAAGGAACAAATATCGTAATTAGTAGAAGACTTTGCGCTTACAAATTGAAAAAATATCTCTCGTTCCTTGTAAATGGAGGAAATTCCCAAAAAATTTATAAAATCAGTAAATTTTGACATTTTTTGTTAGTAAACGGCTATTTTATTTTATATAATTTTTTGATATTTTGACGCTTTACTTACCCACAAGGGGAATTCAAAATAGCAATTTATTCACACGAAATCAACATTTTCTACTTAAGTTTTGAAAATGTTCTGGAAATACTGAGTCCTTTNCATAATAATATAATTCTTTTTTTTATAGATGTATGATGTCATTATCTATCATTTGATATATTTTTTTTATAAATTTGACTTTTTACCTGCCCACAGGGGGGGATTTAAAATGACAACTTTTTTACAAAAAATTAATTTTTTCAACTTAACTTTTGAAAGTGTTCCGGAAGGTCTGACACTTTTATATATATCTTAAATTAAAGCTAATGTAATATACTTTATCGTGAAAAAAAAAAAATTTCGGACTTTATTTTATCTTCAGGGTGAAAATGGCTACCGAATGCTATTTTTGTGTGAAAATTTTCGATTTTGTATTTTCCATTTTTAACTTTATTATGCTATAACTTTTTGAAAAATGTATGAATCATTACAATTTTTTTATGAGAAGTAGTATTTATATAGATCTTTCATTCGACATACTGTTTTTTTAAATCGGACCATTTCCCTAAATACAGGGGGGATTCAAAACATAAAAATGCATATAGAAAGTAGAACTTTTTCAACGTAACTTTTGAAAGTGTTCCGGAAGGTCTGACACTTTTATATATATCTTAAATTAAAGCTAATATAATATAATTTATAATTGTAAAAAAAAATTTCGGACTTTATTTTGTCTTCACGGTGAAAATGGCTACCAAATGCTATTATTGTGTGAAAATTCTCAATTTTATTTTTTACATTTTTAACTTTATAATGCTATAACTTATTGAAAAGTGTATTGATCAATATAATTTTTTTATGGGAAATACTATTTTTTAATAATCCCTTTTTCATTCGACATACTTTATCTTAATCAGGATATTAATAAGGAACTAGCAGTTTATGAAGCTTTTGGAATAATCTGCCAATTTTTTAAAATTAAACACTATCTAAAGATTTGCATCGAAGCGTTCTTTTTTGATAGTGATTTTAATCACTGTCAGATATCATTTTACTTGATCCAACTATGCCACGTCACCACTGTGCCGCGACCCCCCTGTGCTGGGTTTTTTTTTTTATAGATGCATGATGTCTTTACCTTTCATTTGGTATATTTTTTTTATAAATTGTCCCTTTACCTGCCCATAGGGGGAGATTCAAAACGACAACTTTTTTACAAAAAAATTACTTTTTCAACTTAACTTTTGAAAGTATTCCGGAAAGTCTGACACTTTTATATATATCTTCAATTAAAGCTAATGTAATATACTTTATAATGGAAAAAAAAAATTTCTGACTTTATTTTGCCTTCATGGTGAAAATAGTTACTAAATGCTATATTTGTGTGAAAATTCTGAATTTTATTTTTTACAATTTTAACTTAAGCCATACGATCAATACAATTTTTTTATGAAAAATAATATTTATATTCCTCTTTCATTTGACATAATTTATCTTAATCAGGATATAAACAGGGAAATAACAGCTTTTGTAATAATCCACCAATTTTTTAAATTTAAACAATATCTAAAGATTTGCATCGAAGCGTTTTTTTTTATAGTGATTTTAATCACTATCAGATACCATTATATTTGATCCAACTATATCACGTCACTACTGTGCCGCGACCTCACTGTGTAGGTTTTTTAAAATAACTTTATAAAGTATTCATGAATTATTGACCACTAAATTTCTCCTAAATTAATAATAATCTTGAAAATATGTTTTTTTTGGCTTTGTTGAATAGTGTTTATCTCACGATTTAAAAGTGATGACATAATTATCCTTATTCCTTATAAAGGTCAATTTAAAAAAATGAAGCTGGTTCATTTTTTAAAATGACATACATATTTAACTCTTTCCCTTCGACTTTATCCCAATTTCTTGTGGTCAGTCACTTGTATCTTAAGCCTCCACTTAACACAATTCCCCTATCATCTATACACACACCAGCAATTTTTATATAACCCACAATTACATCTAACTATCTAACCATTAACTATCTAACTATTCAATGGTAAAATAAAAAGCTATTTTATCCAATAGTCACTTAGTTACGTTCTCCCGTGGCCTGTGTTATAGCAATAAGTTTATAAGCAAACTAGCAACGTTGCGTTGATAAGTTTGTATAATTAAAACTAACAGAGCGTTTTAAACTTTCTTAACGCTTGTCCTTGCCACGTTGCCAAGTTGCTTATAAACTTATCTTTTATTTGAATTAGACGCTCTTACTACCTGATTGATTCGATTCACTTCAATATTCATTTTCTCAAACATCTGTCTGCTGAATTAAATATAATCAATTTGTCGCCGTTTTAAAATTATTTTTTCCCACTGTTGAAAACAATTGTTTGAATTTGTCGCTCAAATAAACTGCAATGATTTCTATTAGTAGACTTCCTGGTCTGTTTTATTTTTCTATTTGCTATTTATCGTTCATTAGTATTATAAATAAATTAAATTTATCAAATGTATGTTGTTAATTAAGTTAATAAATAAATAAATTTCTGGTTCCCTGTGTTGTTTTTAAATTTATATCGTCATAAATAATTTTAATAGAAATATATTTTCGTAATATACGTGAAATATTGTTTGAAATACATTTTGGAACATTAATGGGATAATCGGTTCTTTTCGTTAATGCCATCAATTTGGCACAATGATTTCTTAGCAGATGATTTCGACATTCTATTTTTTTATTTGAAAATTGCTGCCATATGGCAATACTTCATTTAGTTTTTTCGTAACACTGCTATCACCATCTCCTGTATCAATAAAATAACAACCCATAAAAATAGACTGCTTAAATTTAATTAAATAATTAGTAACCCAGAGTTATTTATACACTTTACCAATCAACTTATTATATTTTAAGCCATGCATACTAATACTATGTAAAAAATTCTTAATAATAGCATCAGATTCCATTGAAGTTGAAGGTTTGCTCCAATTTAAAAAACATAAATGACTAGGCGCTTCTTCTTTTTTTGTTTTAGCTTGTTGGCAAACACAACAATAACTATTTCTAATACCAATAAATAATATTTTTTTTGTTTGTAAGCCAATAATTACTGCTTACAAAAATAAAAATTTGCACGACATTTAGTTAACAACCTAAAATTTTAGGAAATTTAAAAAGCTTTAATTTTTTACAGGTTTAAAACAGAAAATATATCTAGAACATAAGTAAATATAATTTTTAAAAAACAGTATAAAAATTAGCCTTTTCCTATGGCAATACTATTTAATAATTTAAAATGAATAACATATAAGATAAATCTGTACTATGCTTATTCTTAAAAATAAAATTTGTTTAAGATAAACTATTATTTGAAAAAGTAAGTGTTACCTAAATCGTTGTAAATTTTTGCTTTTTAAAAAATTGTTCATTTCTCAGTTTATAATTAATTTATAAATTAGCCCCATTGTTAGTAAATTATTGTTGACATTTAGTGTCACTTAAATTAAAAATCAAAAAAAAATATTATTACCTCAATATTACAAGATCTTGAGGGTTCCCCTTAAAATTTTTCAAATAATTTTAACAGCTCCAGAAAAGCTTCATATCTCTCATTTTTTTAAGATATCACTATTCATCAATAAACTGTTGAAGTTCAAAAAAAAAACTATATCTTTACAAAAATGTTATGGCCAAACAATAATTCTCATGAAAATAAGTCCATTACAAACATTTCAAAATATTGTTTTTTAAATAACCACAAAATTTCAAACTTTTACTATCACTTTAGACCGTGTAATAAAGATTATATTTTTAATAGATTTTAAGCTTAAACTTACGGCGGTGTGGCGTCCTCTTAATAAACATTTCTATTTAAAATTTCTTGTAGATAACACGATAACGTAACGAAATCGATGAAAAAATAACAAACTTTAGTTTAGATAACTAAATTATATTAATAAAAATTTAACTAAAATTTACCAAGTTCAAATTAACAATGTTATGAGGGGAGAGGAATCGAAAGCTCTTAGAACAGTTATGAAATGAATGTTGAAGGAAGAAGAGGTAGAGAAAGACCAAAAGAGATGAAGGGATGCTATTAAATGAGGACTGATAATGTGATTGTAGATGATGTGGGAGATCGTGTCAAGTGGAAATTTAGGATAAGGGTCGTCGACCCGAAAGTAGTTGGGATTCTTGCGAGGAAAAAGAAGAAAAAAGAAAGATTAATTACTATGTTCACAATTAATAATAAAAATATATATCAATAAAGCAGTTATCTTTAATATTTAAATCTTTAATTGTCTGATCTTTAATGAAACACACGTATATTAAATATATATTAATTATAAACATTTTTTATCTTAAATATTTAAAAGATCTTGATGCCAATGATTTTACTCAACAATAAAAGGCGTTGATTCTACTTTATCATTTTATTCCTGTTGGTTGGGTATTGTTTCTTTGGTATCACTACTATTAACTATAATAAATTTTAATATTAATCTTATTATTAAGTTATTTTTGCGAAAAAAATGTGTATCTATACATCTTATTTAAATTAGGAGAGAGTAGAACAAGTCATGGTCTATAATCTTGTAAAAAATTTAATGATTACTTTTTATTCAACAAAAAAAACGGTAGCACAGTATGGACGTGGTATAGTTGGGACAAGTATAGATGATAACTGACAGTGATTAAAATCACTGTCATAAGAAACGCTTCAATGCAAATCTGTAAATAGTGTTTAATTCTATGAAATTGGTGAATTATTCCAAAAGCAAAATTAACTTCTATTTTCTGTTCTACTTCGACTTCCATTTACACATAGAAAATAGGTTATCAGTACAAATTTTTTTTTTATTACATAAAATAAGCTTTATTTTAACTTATATTTAAAAGACGCAGTATTCCCAGAACATTTTCAAAAGTTAAGTTGAAATAATTTTACTTTTTATACAAATTTTAAAGTTTTCAAAAATTCAAAAAAGACTTTCTTAACTTTAAAGAGATGATATAATTAAAATAAGTATACATTTATATTTAATGTAAGTTAGATTTTTATATTTATAAGCGAACTCATTACTATAGCAAACCCTTATAATGCATTCTAAAATAAACAAAAAATAAATTAAATATGAACACAAAAATAGCATGTTTTTTAAATATGGAAGCCATTTTCATAAAGAAGATGTAATGCTATTCTTAAAAACATAGTTATTTTCAATAATAGTTTTCGATTAAATAGAATATATCAGGATTTCATTATTACCACGTATATAATCTCACTTAAGATCCATTTTCAATCTTTTAGCAATTATTCATCGTGCCTATAATCAATGCACCTTCTGGGGTCTCATTGGGCAACGGATCCATCTAGTAGATTCCCTGGGTTAATAGTGTTCATGCCGCCATAGCAAACACAAGTGTTAATACTTTACAATATATGGACCCCAAACCCCAGTATTGATGGCTTAACAGGGTAAGAAATTGGGCTCACAGATATCGTCATCAACTTCCTTCAAGTATAATACTTATATTAATAAGTCACATAATTGAAATACAAGTCTAAATGTGTTTTTTTTTTTATTTGTGGTGAAATTGAAAAATTGAAATATCGAAGATATTTTACTGGTATAGAATACATCTGTAGAAATTGTTTAAATTTAAAAATAACTAAAAACTTGATGTGAGTTGTGACCTTAAAATTATTTCTTTATTAATGAATATGTAATCGTTGATTAAATTAAAAATAATACACAATTATGTATTTTTTGAATTGAGTTACATTATTTTCAATCAAGATAAGGGACTTAAAGTGAAAATAATGATCAATAAAAGTCAAAAACAACAATAGTTCAAGAATCGCTTCCATTTAGAAGAAGGAATTACAATCCCTACCATCACCCCTAACTTTGTAACTGCACTAAATATATCTTCGAGTTGAGATTATTTTATAAAAACGTATTAATAACTTCCAAATTAGAGAATGATTGTAACTATAAATATAACTTTTCTATTATCTACTATGCAAAATTTTTTTTGTTACAATATTTTTTAAGATATCAATATTCTATAATTTGTATAAAAAGAAAAACTAATTTTTTTTTAATGAAGAATTAATAATAAATACACATTTTAAAATAAAAAAATTGAATACAAATAATCCTTGTAAGTGATAATTAAAGTCAATAATAATCCGTACACATAACTATACCATTGAATTGTGTTATTGTCGTACTGCATAGTATACAACATCTAGGAAAATTCTGTTTTAATTCAACTGCACAGACATTACAGATTTTGTCAAAACAAGGCATTAAATCGACACAAGCATCTCTATCTTTGCAATAAGAACATTTTTTATTGGCTGAAAATATCATTCAATTGTTGTTAAATTAATACCAATAATTTAATAATACATATATTATATATATGCATATCTTAATATTTTTATGGTGTTAGTTTTACTACAGCTGATAATATAAATCCAATTTAAACGAGTAAATTGGCATACTATAGTACTGTGTTGTATTTTTTGTATTTCGATGGAATTTTCTGTATAATTTTTGTGTGTCTTCTACAAGGAAGTAGTTGTTCGACTACAGTTATATTTTCTGTAAGTTTATAATTTTTATGTAAGCATTGATTAAACATTACCCAAAAGGTACCTGGGTATCTTTTCAGTTTTTTAATTTATTTTCCTTCCAAATATTTATTATATATAAATAGTCATCCCGTAATATCTCTAAATAGCATGTATAGTTAATAAATTTATATTATGTATTTGTAATATATATAATTTGCTGTACTTAAAATAACGTTGTTAATTATACACCTTATATAAGTAGGTGCCTGGGTATGCAATATATATATATATGTGTGTGTGTGTGTGTGTGTATTTATATTGTATACGAATATAAGTTTTATTTATATAAAAACAACTGAAATATTGAATTAACATTCTGTGTTCACGTCAATGTCAAAAACTAAAATGACCGGAATATAAACCGTAAATATAATTTAAAAATGTTCGATATTGCTAAAATTATGTCTACTAATAATTCGTGTTCGCATTTGGTTATCATACTAGTAAGCGATAATAATAATAATGATGGTCACCGATCAATGTAATTTTAATTATGTTCGATGGACGTAGGCACATGGACAAATATTTACAATAAAATATGAAACAGTCTACTATTTAATAATAGCACTAAGGTTCGAATACATCTGGTCCATTGTGCCGCATTAATTAATTAGCTTATAATTTGGTTTGTAAGTTTGTCATCGCCGTTCTCGTCGTCGAATTGTTTCGATTAAGTGCATAGGTGCGTCGTCTTAAGTTCGTTTCGTAATTTTTATTTGTCGTATATCCATTTAGGATTCGTAATTAGTATGAGATTCTTAGTGGCAATCGTTTTATGATTTGTTTTCCACAGCGATCAACGAAAATAACAATCTCAATAATATGCAAAAGTTATTTTATTTACGATTCATTAAGTGGAGAAGCTGCTAAGATATTACAGTGTTTACCTACCACGGCTAATAATTATGTAATCACCCGGCAAAGTCTAAAATTACGTTATAGTAATACTAAGTTGTTAGTTCAAGTGCATACTAAGTAGCTATTTGATTTAAACCCAATATATCAAAAAAGGGCGGAAGAAACTCGACATTTTCATGATACATTAGTGGGCCATATTAAAACTCCAGAAAGTTTTAGTCAAAAGCCCGACTCGTGTAGATTCTTAGTTATATATTTAATTACATCTAAATTGGACGTATCAGATTTGCGTAGTTGGGAAATCAAATCACTAGGATCAGAGGTGGCGTCATTAAAAATATATTATTGTATTTTTAAAATTGCGTTTCAGAATGATAGAAGCTATCAAATCGTTAACAAATTACGATCTAATAACAATTTACGCAGTTTAACCGAGAAATCATTTATTCCAAAAAAAATAATAATAATCGTAAAACAAATGCATTATATTTCGTGAGAGGCATCTAGACCGTAGGACGTCTAGTTGTGCACCGCACTGGAATGTCGTTTTGCATTAAGTCTGTTTAAATCGCTATTATTGAAGAGGGAGAGAGGTCACCTAGAAGGATGACGGTTAACCGCACATCCAATAAGTAACGAGAGTAGACAATAATTAAATAACAAATAACCACATATATTAGAAGCTCTTCAAAGTGTATCTTAAATTTAAGGGGTGACGGGGGGCCCTTATATACTAATAGCCGGCGAAGCTGCATAAAACATAATAGTTATAAAATAATACATAACATTAAAAAATAACGTCGATTTGCCGTGCTGGGTGGGCAAGGGGGTGAGTAAAGCAAAGAGGCTAGAGATCAGCTATCACACTATATAATTTAAACAACGGTGTTTGTGACAACTGGTCCACTAGATCTTTGCTAAAGGCGTCTTTACCAAACACATTGTTTACAAGCGGTGGCATTACGTGTTATTATTGTAAACAAACTTTTACTATTTATCGTTGTCCGTTGTTATTAAAACTTACAGTGATCGAACGTATTAACAAATTTAAGAAAATCATTGTAGTATTTAAGAGCACGTTCAGATGAAAAAATATAATAGTTTATTGCACGAATTTTTAAAGAAAAATAATGCGGGTAATTCGGATAATTCAGTAAGTATTATTGACAGTAATGTTTTAAAAAACACAGCGTTACAATAGCCAACATTAATAAACGCGCGCACACTTATCAAAGCAATTACAACAGTAGTAGTACTGCTAGCTACTTCCTTAGCACATGCGTATAATAATAATAAATATAGTTAAAAAAACTAAAAAAACACGCTTTTAAAGTACATCGAACTAAAAAGTTAAAAATAATTTTTAAAATAATTATGAACAAAAAATACTAGTATTATTGTGATAAAAGCGTCGGGCGCTCAATATACGAAAAATATGGCACAAAGCACCCACGCTTTTATCACAATAATACTAGTATTTTTTGTTCATAATTATTTTAAAAATTATTTTTAACTTTTTAGTTCGATGTACTTTAAAAGCGTGTTTTTTTAGTTTTTTAAACTATATTTATTTTTTACTTTTTAGTTTCATGTTATGATAGTAGTTACTATCAATATCATGGTTGTTACGGGTAACGGGAAATCAGGGTTCGATTCTGGGGAGGGAGTCTGAGAAACGGCTACCACATCCAAGGAAAGCAGCAGGCGCGTAAATTACTCACTCCCGGAACGTGGAGGTAGTGACGAAAAATGACGATACGGAAATCATCCCTCGTAATCGGAATGAATACTTTATATCTCTTAATTAGAATAAATCGTGTTAATATATTAATTTTAATAGTAATTAGAATATATATATTTATACAAATAATGCGACTTAACTACGTAAAAGTATCATGCACTAAGTATAGCTGTGTTTTATGGCCGGGCGGGTCGGACTAACGTTATACCCGAGGTATAAACGGCGGTAGGAATATATATATATATACGTAAGGCGCATTAGACGCGGGCGTTATTGGTCAGTCAAAATAAAAATTTGTTTACATATATATAATATTGATGACAAGCACGCGTGTACGGGTACGATAACTAAAAATAAATTTTTATAGGAATAGTGTACCGTCGTATTGTGAGCGAGGCGTGGGGAGGGGTGAATGCGTATAACAGTCTAGTCTAGACAACGGAATATGCGATAACGCGTGGCGTTTGGAGAGTTACAAACTTACAAACAACAAACAACAAACAACAACAAACATACACGTGAAACTAATAAAAGCGTGTTAAAAAAGAACCAGTAGTGTGCCGAGTATTGCTAGACTCCGATTCATAAAACAATTTTATTACCAAATCAATGGCCCATTATTTGAATTTAAACGTGGATCCATCACTACACTCCCGAATCGAGACAACAGACAGCTGATAAGGACTGAACCAGGCGAAAGTGCTCCGAAGCGGCCAAAAATGCAAAAATCAGCTGGCAAAATTATGCGTCGGTATTTTGAGATGCGCATGGAGTTATATTCATTTATTATCACAAACATGGTAAACAATCAATAGCGATTACTACATTATGATATTGAAGTATTTGAAAGCCAAAATTTCGAAAAAAGACCGCTATGGCGATAAAAAAAATCTTGTTCCACTAAGTCAATACATCGTGTCACAAATCATTAATAACGATGGAAAAATGTATGATTTGGGCTTTAAATTGCTGTCGCGCCAACCGTATAGTCCAAATCTGGCCCCCAGCGACTACTACCTCTTTGCGAATCTCAAGCAGATGCTCGAGGGAAAATGATATGAATGAAGAAGTCATCGCCGAAACTGAGATTTATTTTAAGGGCAGAGATAAAACGTTCTATTCGAAAGGTATAGAAATGTTAGAATGTCGCTGAAATACATGTATTTCTCTAAAAGGAAAGTATGTCGATGAATAAAGTTAAATTTTGCGAAAAAATGTATTTTATTTGTTAATCTCATGTCTCTCCAAAGAACCTGTTATAAGAGTTATAAAAAATTATACTTTAAAACCATTAATTAGGGTGACTTCGCTAGTGAATGTACAGTTAAGAATTTTTCATCTTTTAAAGTTTTTTTATAAATTTTTATTAATTTTGTTGCCATATTCATAAAGGTAACATTATTATCTTAGAATATTTGTTCCCTCAAACATTTTTTATAATAGTAAAACTTAAAAATATTACTATTTAGTAAAAGGGCCTTTAACAAAGACCTAATGGAACAGTTGTCATAAACTCCGTGAAGCACATTATATCCGCGAATCTTTAATATATGTAATATATATATATATATGTATGTATAATATTTTTTATATAATTATAATTTTCGTATCATTCATTGGAAGTGCGGTTGGTCTACTTAGGTGACTCCCATCATCCGCTCATTTTGTGATCGTAAACAGGCTTTAGGCAAAACGGCGATCTAGCGCGATGCAGAATTAGTCGTTCTACGGTTTGGATGCATCGTACGGATCAATTGCATAACTTATAGTATTCATTCACTGATGTATGCTGTTAAAAATAAATTAGAAGTTTTCTTCTAAACCTTTTAGTAACATTATATATTCTAAAATGAATACGCATTACCTATTTATTTATTTAATCTTCCAACAATTACACTAAGAGCTTTTAAAAATTTTAAGTTTTCCTTTATCCAATGATTGAATAATAGATTTATACATAAGAAAAATTATTACACTTATGTACAATCCTATTATTGGACAGAATTGGACTTTTAAATAAAAATCTAGATAAATACAATTATAAGCATATGGTTAATATGAATATATTACGTATTAATTGTTCATTCAGTCCTTTGAATTTCTCTATTGTAGCTCTACAATATGGACAGATAGAAGAATCAACTTCTAACTGGTTTGCACAAAGATTACCAAATTTATGATTACATGGTTTTAACGTTACTGTTGATAATTCATCACGACAGAGTATACATTCTTTATCTACAAAAAAAAAAAAAAATTATTCAATAGTTTATCACAATTAAACTTATTTAATAGTTTAACAGTATCAAAGTGCAGTTATTTTTGTAGGGTAGCTAGAACATCGACTAAAATATAAAAGGTTGCATCAATTATTTCTAGTTTCTCAAGAAGTTTGGCTGGCTAAATATTTCACAGAAAATAGCTTTTTATGTCATTATATTTATCGTCAAGGCCAGAATTGGAGGTTATGGATTCAAAGTCCCACAAGAAGAGAGACTCCATTTAAAAGTTGGTGACTTTATTATAATATTCGATGCGTAGTAAATTATTAATTTGGGATGATGTCTGTTATTTCTGTTTATCAATGAATATTGTTTACTCATTGGACTCCTATCAGCAGTTGGCCCAATGAAATTATCAGTAGAGAAAAATGTAAAGAGTTGCCATTAAATTATGATTTATAATTTAAATATTAAATTGAGCACCCCACTTACATCAAATTATGATTAAAACATATACAACTTAGGTAACATATAATATTACATAACGAACTGATCGCGTCTCTTAGAATTTCGCACTATTACTTTACCGCTTGACAAAAAAAATTATGGCAATCCGTTGATTCTATGTGTTAGGAAAACGACTAGAATCTTGTCCACAAACAAAAACAGTCTATACATTATTTACAAAGAAGTATGAGTGGATAAGTCATATGTATGAAGAAACTCTTTCACTTAAGAGTGGATGGAAAACGAAGTCGAATAACCACTATAGCATATGTAACATAATTTATATGTTTTACTATTTAAGTAGCGCACTTTGTTTGGTGTGAAACTTAACGACAGAAGCGTTTTTTGGCATGTTTACGCCCTCTATAGCAAAGTGTAGAAAGCTTCTTAAAGTAAACTCTGACAACGAGTCAACCTCTATTGAAGCTATGTGAATTTATATAATACTCACAAGCCACAGTTACTAAAACCGCCACCCATCTATCCCTGCACACGTCTCTAACTTCATAGTTCTATGGGAAGATGGCGTGAAAACAACGAGATACCATCTTCGATGAGTACTAGGTCAAACAACATTATTGTTTGAATAACTTAAAGTGATATTAGCATAAGTCGAAACAGTGCTCATGATCACTGTATGCGATGTTAACTGACGATCCATTCGATTAACAACCAATTACGCCAGATAATTTAATTGGGAGTCCATTAACATAATTTCCAGGACCCAACTACACAGAAACTATGGCATGGAAACCGAGATAGTAAATGGTACAAAATATGACGCAACAGTTGTGGCAATAATGGAAATCAAAATATCTACACCAGTAGATATTTTAAACAACAAAATAGACAAAGCCATAAAAAACATCTATGTCTTGGTGAACTGATGCTAATAAAATAAGACAACCAAGCCCCATTTAAATGGAAACTAGAATGCATAGCGGAAGTTTATAGGTGAACTGATGGAAGGATTTGAGTAGCAATAGTTCTAGTCCATCTATCCTTAACACGACTTAGTAGATTGTGAGTTGTTGAAATGCCGTAGAGTTCAACAAAGACGGAATATCGGTGAACATAAAAGCAGGTAGTTCGAACCGGTCGACCTAAGTCCAATGTTCATAATTATTCGATAAACCTTATTTATTTTTAACTTTTCAAAAATAAATCAAATACTTTTTTAAAAATATTTTTGATTACAGGAAAATAAATTATTTTTACTCCCACCTTCATCACTATTGAAGCTTCTGCTGCATTTTAATACTCATAATATCAAGTACGTAGTTGAAAAATGTTTTCTCAATATTACTATTACCTGACAATGAACGTAAAAAAGACAATTCTTCTAATTAAATATAATATAAATATTATTTGAAGCAAATAATATTTTTTTTTAATTTAAACTTTACCTTGGTCATTTTTTTCGTCTTCTCTTTTATCAATATTTTCATCATTTATTTCTTCACTTTTTGGGTCATAAGTTTTTGATCGGAAGCATTGACACGTAAACACGTGTTTACCTTAAAAACCATCATTCATAAGTCTTAATATGATATTTCGGTGAAATATGAATGATTTATTTTTCAACTATTTTTAATTACAATTAAAAAACAACTCAGCTCAGTTATATAAATAGTATTTATCATAAAAAAATTGTATTAATCTATATATTTTTCAAAAAATTATAGCATTTTTTTTCCATAATAAAGTATACTGTATTAGCTTTAATTTAGGATATATATAAAAGTTTCAGACTTTTCGGAACATTTTCAAAACTTAAGTTTATAAAGTTAACTTTTTGTGAAAAAGTTGCTATTTTGATTCCCCTCTTGTGGGCAGGTAAAGAGTCAAATTTTGAAAAATATTATATCAAATAAAAGGAAATACTTAAGGTTTCAACATAAAAAAATTATGTTGATTTGTTCATTTTTAAAAAAGTTATAAAAGTTTTAAGAAAAAAAATTGAAAAATAATGACGAAATTTACTGATTTTAATAATTGTAATTTTTTTTGGAGATTTCCCTCATGTACGGGGAACAAAGGAATTTTTTTCAATTTTTGAGGGTAATGTCTTCGACTAAATACGATTTGTGATATTTTGGCGTATCGTTGAAAGAAATCGGTTCGGTGAAAGCTGAAAAAAAGTGGTAACAGACACAAAAAAAAAACCAAAAAAACACATCATAGTAAAACCAATACCATCTCAGTTCCGCATCGGAACTAATATATACTCAATGAATAAGAAATCTATTTATTTTATCTATATTTCTTGGGTACGCAGCTAGTTTAAACGACATAATATTATGAATTGTAATTAGAACTTCAATTAATTATGTTTAATAATCATTACTTAAAAATGGGCTTGTTTACAAAAAATTATAAATATTAAAATTATTTTAAATTTTAGTAATATCGTAAGACTGAAAAATTAATTAGACTCTCGATACTATATATTTAACAATTTATTTTACATCCTACTGCATTATTACGTATAATTCTATAATGTTTGGCTCACTAATAACAAATAAAAAGTATTTATATTTCATTTTATCATACTGATAATGACTGATAAATAAACTTTTTAAAAATTAAATTAATATGATTTTTACTAACCTTTCTCGATGCTTTTATCAATAACTTTTCGAAAATTATTCTTACGTACGCTATTTACTGATAAAAATATATAAACAGTATAAACGTAATGAAATAAATAATACAACAATTCATGGAAGTTTTAACACTTTCTTATCAAGTATTAAACTTTATTATTTTAATTTTAGGGTTAAATTTTGTTCATTTATTAACTTATAAAAACACAACATTTTCAATTATATTTGTTATTAACTTTAATTATAAAATATTTATTTCACTTGTAATATTATAATTTAATAACTCTAGATCAACTGATATTAATTAATAGTATATACGATTTTTATTGAATTTCTCTTTAAAAAACGAAATAATCAATAATATCGGAATTTCAATTAATCTATACAGAGTGATCAAATTCTGTTAAGACATCTATTTTCTTGGAAACTATTGAAAATTTCAAATTTTTGTAAAGAGAAAAATTATTTGGTTCAAAAAACTACAATAAAATGTGTGAAAACATTTTATTTTCATCCTTTCAGTGTTAAAAAATCATATTTTTAATTTTATTAAACGTAATACCTTATTTATAATTAAAAATTAAAATTATATTAAAAATATTAATTTAAAACTAAAAAATATTAAAATTTATTTCGAAAACAATGTTCCTGAAATACATGTCCACGATTTTTTAGTATTTTTATTTTTGTGACTTTTTAAATTAAATATTTTTTAGTTTAAATCTAGTATTTTTAATATAATATTATTATTAATAATATTAGCCAAAAGTGATCAATTTTTATTGTACCCCTATTTATAGCTTAATAATGCGATAGAAGAAAAAATTACGAACAATATTTTTTTTATCTGATCAATCTTTGTTTCAATTTATTGTTTATCTATTAAAACATGTTAAAATGATTTTAATTCGATATTTTATTTTTATTTCAGTTCTTTTAAATCAGTAATGTTCAATGTCCTATATTGTCATAATAACCATTTTTTATTGACTAAGATATGGCAAATAAGATGACGAAATAAAATATTCTACAGACCTAATATTTTTTCAAAAATTAAAAATTGTTTATAAGTTTTAAGAAAATAAAAGTATCTTACAATAATTTGATCATTCTGTATATCATAATTTATTTCGTTTGACGGTTTTATATTACAACTCTTTTACAAAAAATTATATTTATATTTAGACAAAATTAAAATTACCATTAGTAAAAATTAACAGAATAATCACTACAACAAATGCCGGAGAACACAAAGGTTGAATAGAAATCTATAAATAAACAAAATAATTTTTGTTATATTAAAAATATTTGTATGTATCAATAATTTCATTTACGATTTACCATATTCCTGCAATTATTAGTATTATATTTTACAATTACTAAAAGTAAAAACTAACCAATAATTATAATTAAAAACTCCAAATGTTTAATACGTAAAAGCAAAATGTATTATATAATACATTTTTGAATGGTGTTAATTTCTAATAAAAATAAAAAGAACCAATAATGGTTCGTTCAAACATACAAATGTTTTATTTGCAAATATTTTTCATTTGGTTCTTATACAGGATTATTACTCATAAAAATTACACTAGACGATAAAAATGAGCTATAAAACACATACTTTTAACATAAAATGAATGTAATAAATTATTACTAATAACACATTTATATCTAAAGATTTAAACAGTTATTTTATATTTTTAAATGAGAAGTCTTGAACATAACAATTCTATCTACAAAAAAATTTGCTTAAACTAAACTGTGCTAGCATCTTTGTTATTAAGCAGTCATCGGACAGCTTCCCTGGCCAACAGACACGTCCTTGTGGGGTGTAATCCCTATACATGTTTTTAATAGATAAAATTATAATGTGTGTACCTTTAATAAGCATACATATAATTTATTTTTTCTAAATTATGATAGTAATTATTACTTTCTATATTATACATTTTATTATATTTTATATTATATATTTTTTTAAATAAGATAATATACATCTATAATATATGAGGGATTACAAATACAGGTAGCTAATTGTTTTTTTATGACGTCGCTATTCGCAGATATGCAGCATTTATTGTAAATTATAATTATCAACAGATATACTTAAAGTGTGGTTATATGACATACTATAGTGAATAAACATTTATTATTACACAAACTGGCATTGCAGAAAACATCTGCCAATAAAAACTTAAACATTCTATTAAATTCAAAATATGTTCCCGTTTAAAAAACACAATTGATACTCTTACAAGGCATAAATAATAAACTGAAAAGGTATTACATAGTTCAAAGAATATATATCTTTAGCATATAAGCACTTTATATGCTTGTATATCTGAATATTAAAAAAAATATTAGACTAAAACTATATAGGAGTTTAACTAAAACAACTTTTATGTGAAAATTGTTTTTCTATGATGTATTGTCTATAAAACAAATCAAATTAATAGTTTCAACGGTTAAAAAAAGAATTATTATGTTTAGACTGTGAAAGATAAGATCGACTAACAATAAGTTTTTAGATTATAGATAAATTTACTTATAATATATACTTTTTTGAATTTCGGGTACTGCAGCATTATTAGCATTCCTGCTATACTATTGCATAACTAATGGAAATGTGCAGTACTAAATAACTTTTGACGCTTAAAAAGGTAATTAATATTAACCAGTTTTTTAATTATTTAAAAAATAGATTAAATAATTAAATATACAAGCATACATTTGATTAAAAAACAAATAAAATTCTTAGTAATAAAAAACTACTAAATTTCTTCAAGAGTCATTTTGGATTTACTAGATAAATAATAGTTGTTTATTATTGAAATTTAATAGTTATACTACTGAATCTACTAGTTCACTACTTAGCCTAAATAGTAAAAATATTATAAATGTATAGTAATGCATGTATAATATAAAAATGTATTAGCTGGCTACTATAATTTTCCAGTAAAACAATTAGAATTATATGTAGTAAATTGATGGTAAATCTAAAGAAAATTTTCAGTAGTTCTTAATAAAATTTTATTATTACTAATATTAGAATTAGTAAAAATAGTTATGCATATGACTAATAAAATGACAAAGAAGTTTCACATGAAACTTTCAGAGTTATTCAACTGATATTAAGTTTGGAATAAAATAAAAAAATTAACCAAAAAAATGTATTTTCAATAAAAATTAATTAAATTTATTATTAATTTTCTTATTCTATTGTCATAAAAATTACAATAGGCTCATGATAACTAATATAACTATAATTTGAGTTTTTGATTGGATGTTAATGAAGATATCTTTTAAATTTTGCATCTATTGTTGTTTTTAAAATGTTTTTGTACTCAATCAAATATACTTTAAATTAAATTATATAATGTATTTTAAATAACATTACTTTAATTTTCAAAAATACAGTGCTAAATTATAACAGATAATATAAATATTACGGACTACTATAATACTATGTATTATAATTTATTAATTAAAGTATATATAGATAATATTTATTTTTATTTACACTAATATACATTATTCAGTAATTTTATTATATTATGTTATACATAAATAAATTTAGAAAACATTTATAATTATTATAAATATATTTTTAATTATTCTTAATTATTTTTATAAGTTAATTTATATTATCCATAATTATTTATATAAATTATTCATTTACTTGAAAAAATAATTCAGAATAATTCAAAATAAATATAATTAATACTTTCTGTATTTATATTTTGCATAATATAATAAATTATATTTAATCATAATTTTTATGAATAAGAATAACAATATAATTAATACATATTTTTATAATTCAATTATATTTATTTTATTTAATATCTGTATTAATATAAATATAATTGAACACTATAAAATTATGTATAATTTTTATTTTAATTTATATAATTATTAAAATAAATAGTTGTAATTAAATTGTAATATAAAATATATGTAGCACTTTATTTTTGATAATCACAGTATTGTTGTTTAACTGCATTAATTAATTTAATTTAACATGCATGCATGTTAATAAAACGTACAATTAATTATGCATTTGTCTTTTTTTTTATATATACGCTTTTATTAATCCATTAAGAGCCATAGCAGCCTCCCCAAAAGAGGAGGTTTCTTAACCATAACGCGTATCCAATGAATATATAGTTGAGACCGCACAGGCTTATTAGATTATTCGCGTAAATACACTTGCGCACACAAGTTATGTTTAGGTGTAATCGACACCGCAGTCAAGTCGCGAAAACAATCCAGAGAATATATATATTTAACAAAGGTAAGAACATGCACGTACGCAACAAAACCAAAAAAAAAAAGTACGTCGGAAACGGAACAGAACGCAATCTCGGTAATCCATATTCGGCGGCGGCCTTATCTCAGTGTCAAGGGCGGGGAGACAACCGATTGTCATATTAGTAGCTGGACGGCTGATATCGAGAGAGACGCGGGTGAGCGCCAGCCTAGAGCAAAAGGCGGTGCCGTGTCAACCATTTATACTCCGGGACGGGTGGTTAGTCCGTCGCCGAAGAGTGGGTTGCTGACTCCAATTACAAAATGATCTTTCGTTTGGCAAATGAAGCCGCTCGTGACCGAGTTTCGAACATGAGACAGTGCGCGTCAAGCACAACCTTGACGCATTTTTTTAGAATTTATTTAATTAAATTATTTTAAATAAAAAATGAAGTGCACAACTAGTAAATTAAAACAACAAATTATAAATTTACAGGTATTAATATTAAATTCTTAATATTAAAAAGTAATATATATATATATATATATTAAAATTAATAATCAAGTCGTATGAAACAGTAATTTAAAATATTTATTTATATTATAACAATAAATAAGAAAAAGTGTAAGAAATAGTTATGAACGATCTCCTAATCACAATCAGAAAAATCGCTGATGATGTTGGAATTTAGATTGGCTCATGCTTTAAAATTTTTTCGAATATTTTAGGTATGAAACGCGTGGCAGCAAAATTTGTTCTAAAATTGAAAATTGAAGAACACAGTGTTCTTTGATTTTAATGACATAGTGCATCATGATTTCTTGCTACGAGGTCAATAAGGAATACTACCTACAAGTTCACAGGCGTTTGCGGATTTGTGGTAAAATAATTCATAGCTTTTGTACCACGATAATGCACCTGTTCACACTTCATTGCTTGTTTGTGAATTTTTGGCTTAAAAAAATTCTGTAACGATGTCACAGCCTCCATATTCGCCAGACATGGCTCTGTGTGATTTTTTTATATTTCCAAAAATGAAGAGAACCTTAAAGGGTCGTCGTTTTACAAACATAGATAACATTAAAAGCGCATCGCTAAATGAACTGAAGGCTCTCCTAAATATCGAATATGAGAAGTGTTTTGATGATTAGAAAAATGGTTGGCAAAAGTGCATAATATCTATTGGGACTTCTTTGAAAGCGAACATATTAATGTAGACGAATAAATATTTTTTTCGAAAATTCCCGTTGTTTTCTGAACACGCTTTGTAATCTGTTCGTGTCAGTCGACTGTGATAACTAATTAATTTATGAATAAAGAATAATATTTTATTTTAAATAGTTTTAGTTGTGAATAAAAAATAAAAATTATTCTGAATAATTTAACTTATGAATAAATTGATTATTCTGAATAAATTAGTTAAATAATTTGTGAATAATATCAAATTTTGGTGTAACAAAATTATGATAAAAATATAATATACATAACAAAGCAAATAATTATAACAACAATATCAATAATTTACATAATTTACATAATAGTAACAATAATCGTGATAAAAATAATAATTAATTTTAATTTTAGTTTCTATTTTGTAATTCATAATTTAAATTTGATTTTAATACAACTTTATACTCAAATAAATCATCTGATAACCTATTTGACTTTGGTAAATTTGTCATCGTCGCAAAAGAGAAAAGTCTCTCTACTGGAGCTGAAGACGCCACAGGAGTATTGTACCAAAGAAAAATTTTTTTGATAGTAGGATATGAGTTTAAACATTCAAGACGTTGACGTGGATCCTCAAAATACTTTAACACCTTGAACATACATTTAAAACCATAGTTAAATTAATTATAATTAAAACATTTAATTTCATAAACATACTTCAATCTCAGTAGACGTCGATGTATCTGTTCTGTCGTTTTGTGTTGCTGGACCAAAGTCATAAAAGTCAGAGTGATCGTCTTCAATTTCAAAATTTTCTTCACAAGTTTTTGTTTTAGATTCAGCTGTTACTGCTTTTTTAAATATTGATAAAAGTTTATCACGAGAAGATGACGTATGAATACAATTTAACCACTTATTTTGAACTTGGAGTGAGAAAAAGCTGCAATAGCTGCATTATCAGCTTCGACTGTATTAAAACTTAAAATATTAGAAAATCTTTTTTCGATGCTATCAAGGAGACTTTTTCGAATTAATTTATAATACATCAATTTTTCACTGTCAACAATCATTAATTTTTATTGCAAGCATAATAGTGTAGGAATAACCATACCGTAAAATACACTTTTATCTCCTTGTAATATGTCCAATGCTTGTGATAAAGGCTTAACACAAAACAAAAATTCTTCAATGTAATTATGGTCAGAAGCAGTAAATGAACACTGCTTTAAATTAAGTGCTCTAGTAAATTCACTAGATTTTTCTTTTATTTTTTGAATTTGAGTTAACGAGTCAAATAGTGAATTCCATCTCGTCTCACCGGGTCTTGATAGAGTACGTCCTAAAATTGACTGAATTATCTCTGCTGATTTTGGTCGACTTGCCGCATTCCATAATGTATTACACTTTTGCATGACTTAAGTATGCATTTCATGGAGATGTAGTGATGATTTGATGGATTTCATTAAATCACTGGTAGCACAAAGGCTTAATGTATGAGCACAACATCGAATATGCCTAGAAAGAATAATGTGAGGTTCATTTTCTAAATCTTCACTTTGAAAACTATTAACACTTGAATCGCTATCGCTTTCATCAGTATCATGACTATCGCTCAGTTTTCTAAAATGTGCCATTTTTACACCAAATACATCAAATGCTTTAACCATTCTTCTTCTTCAGTATTCAATCCTGAGATTGGTTTGTAGCAATTCTCCACTCTTCCCTGTTACTTGCTTTCCTCTTTGTCTCTTCGTAAGAAGTACATCCTTGGTCCTCTATTATTTGTTGCATATATTCCATTCGTGGTCTTCCCCTAGCATTTTTTCCTTCCACGCAGCCTTCTATAATCAATCCTAGCAACCCACCATGTCTCAATACATGTCCAATCCATTCATTTCTCCTTTTCTTGATACTGCTCCATAAAGTTCTTCTCTCGGACATTCTTTCTAATACTTCCTCGTTTGTTACCATGCCCGTCCAACTTATTTTGAGCATTCTTCTGAAACACCACATCTCGAAAGCTTCTATTCTTCTTCGCTCTTCTTTGGCAATCGTCCACGTCTCACTGCCATACAGCATTATACTCCATACGTATGTCTTCAGGAGATATATTCTGGTACGTATGCTAATATTTTTTGAAGTAAAAAGTCCTCTCTTTTTGTTAAATGCTATCTTAGCTTGGCATATTCGCTTTACTCATCTTAGGAAATAGTTTGACTCTGGCCCTCCAATAGTTGCACACTTTGAGATGAACTTGACCTGCTTTCATCATTATAAACTAAAATTGTGTCACTGCCACTCGTAATACTCAAATCATCCATAACTGTATTATTTTTACGCACTTATAGAAAAACGAAAATAACTATATAGTTAACTGTCGATACTATACTAAATTAAATTTCAGTACATCTTCAGCTACATCAAGTTATGTCAAACATTGTTTTTAATTAATAATAAAAATGTTATTAAAGCAGTAAAACGCAGGTAAATAACATGTCGATATCTAGTGCTAAACCATTTAGATTAGCCTCATAGAAATTATTTATGATTTTTGGTTTTGACATTTTTTACTGCAGATAATATAACAATAAGAAAGAAATACTAGTTTCAATTTTCAGTTAAGTTGTAATTTTAAATTACCTACGAATCATTTGAGATAAACACGACTATGAAGAATAATGAATAACGAATAATTGAATAATGAATAACCGAATGATGAATAAAAAATGTAGAATAACTGGTTGAATAATGAATAACGAATTATTGTAAAAATTAAAATGATGAATAAAAATAATCTAGAATAATCAAATGAAAAATAAACGAATAAAGAATAATTTTTTATTCAAATAATCAATCGAATAATTTTTTATTCGAATAATGCCCAACTCTGGTTAGGGGTTTGTTTAATAGTTGAACATAGTAATAAATGTTCTTACAGGAGGGACTATTGCCCTCCTCTGAAGCCTATTCTACAGATGTTCAGTAAGTAAGGAAACAGGCCAATTGTTATAAACAATGAGAACAATAGTAGCCCATTTCCTTACTTACTGAACTGCTAATATAAAAATGACCATATTAGTTAAGTAAAAATAAATAAGACAATTATTCAAATTCATAAAATATTCCATTTTTTTATTTGTATAGTTTATTATATAGCACAGCTTATTATGCACTGAAATTTAAATTATACTTATACATTATAAATTACTGTAAAATTGTCAATTAAAATAAAGTAAACTGAAGAATTTTTACATTTACTTTAATATAAAAATATAAGTAAAAATTAAATGCAGTTATACACAAATAAGTTACTGATGATAGCATAAATGTAAGTAAAATTTTGTAGTATAACGAGAAATTTTTTTGAAAAATTTAACTTAGCAATTGATGAAAATTGTATCTTTTAATACAATTAAAGTATAACAAATAGGGGTATTGTATTGGAATTTTTGAAAATTTTCAAGATTTATACCTATTTAAATTTATCATGAAAAACTATACTGCAAAAAAAGAATATAATAGTTACATATTAGGAATAGACAATGTATAGATATTACTTCACTTAACTCATAACTATTGGTTTTAACCATGAAAATAGAAAAATAAATATCTTGCATAAAAACAAGACAAATAATAAATCATAACAGACATTTACTCAAAGTTAAATGTGCAAGCTTTGGAAAATAGTTATCTTATGACTGTGGGGACATTGAAAGTACAACTTAACATTAAATATAAAAATTAATTTAAAGTTATATTTTGTTATACTTGTTAAGTTAAATTAGACAATTTATATCTAATTTCATGACATTGTAGTGATTGTATTTTTAATTTTTGTTCAATATTATTTTTATAGCAACTATAAAAAAAAATACATAATATCATAGGAAATCTAAGGATTTCCAATATCAAACACAAATAACTTATTATAACATTAAATGTAATAAGCTGCTTGTTATTGTGTTAAATTAAGTCTTTAAATTCATTACAAATTATTTGTTAGCTTATTTTGCATCTCAATACTAAGTATGATAACTTGTTAGCTCGTCAACAAAAAATTAAAATAACATTTACAGACCAACCATATTATTAAAATAATTCATAATGTATCATAAAATATTAATTTGTTATAAAATTACACTAAATTTTAACTATAATTATTTACAACATATTACTGACTACAAGAATAAGTATAGGGACGGGTAAATAATACAAGTTAATATTAAAATGATTGATAATCTTTACATACTAATCACTTACTAAATAAAGAAAAACATTTAACACACAAATACAACAACATAACAACACATGAAAAATAAAAGTAGCAAATCTAAAATACGAGTAAAAATTATAGTTGATAAACTTCATAATTAACCTTAAAAGATAAAAATGAATTGTTAGGTGTATTTGTTATTTTAATATTCTATATGTTTTATTATTAACAAAAATAATAAATATAAAAGACATTATTTCAAAAGATAAAAAAATTTAGAAGAATAAAAATACTTAAAGGCACTTGTTACAATAAATTTGTGAGAACATTATACTAGGTTTAATAGCTAAGCAAAAAGTAAATATTAAAAATCAAACCTAATAAATTCGTAACAATATCTCAATCAGTCAAATTAATACTTAGCAACATCAATACAATTTTACATTTTATGCTATTCATATAATATATAATATGACTTAAAATCATAAAAAAATATATATATTTATTATATTCAAAATGAATAGTAATGGTATTGTAAATAATATAAATGTTTTAAATGCCATAAAAGTCATTAGAATTGTTTTTTATACACAGTTCAAAGTGTGTAGGCATTAACTTTTGTTAAAGTTTATAAACAAAAATGTATAGAAATAAAATGAAATTATTATAGACCAAAAACTGAGCTTCATAATATTTGGTATTGCTGCAATCCATTTGAGCCTGAAGTAATGTGATTTTCACAAAGGTCTTGTAAAATTCGCAGGGAATAATTTTTTTTCACCAGTACTCTCTTTAATACCAATCAACCAGCCTTCTTCCTATAAATATAAAATCAATGAAATCATGTTTCAAATAATACCACTAGAAGTTAGAAAATCATACTTGAGTATCTGGATCGTCATATGGTACTACACTAATAATTTCACCTTTTTCAAATGACAATTCATCTGTATCCTCTGCATCATACTTATATGTTGCTACTACTCTGTATAAAACACCAGCTGGTAAATTATCAGTTGTGGCACCTAAAAATAAATTTAACATAGTTAAATCATGATAAATGATATTTACTACCAAAAATTCTATGAAAAAATGTATGACTTTTTTTTAATTAAATTTTGAGTAACTTATATGGTTAGGAATAAAAAACTGAAAGCATATTGTGAACACTATCGCAACAATTTTATTTTAAAAAATATTCAGTTAAAAGAGTTCCTCTGTTTAGATTAAATATTCCTTCGCAATTGCATATTTTGGACTTTGAATGAATGTCTTACCTTTTTTTTTTAAATAAAGATCAATTGATCCAAGGTCAAAAAATTTCAAAAATACCTGGAGGGATTTCTATATCAGCAGTTAAATTTTTAGTACTGCCATTTTCATGTCTAGCAGGAGCAACTCCGTTGGTTTGAGGACTATTGCCATTTACCAACTTTTCTTCATTTACGTTTTTGGATATTACTTCATTGATGCTATCAGGTGTTTTAATCACAGCAGTTTCTGGTGGAGAAGGAGATAAACTTGGGGATTTTGGAGCATCCTCATCTACAGAAAGCATTAGTAATCACACAAAAACATAGATAAGTTAGTAAAACAACATAGTTAGAACAAACAAAACTTATTAAATAACTGAATAAATATTCACCATTTACTGAGTTTGGAGATGCAGGAGACTGTAAACTGTAATAAAAATATAAACAAAATATCATAAACTAAAGAAAAAAATATCAAAAAATTTTTAACTTACGTTGATGATACATTATTAGATATGTTATTGGCTGTTTTGTTGTTTCGTACAAAGTAGTTCAACATTTTTGATTGGTGTTGGTAATCATTTGCTAACTTATCTACAATTGACTCCATTTCTGAAAACACCTGTAAAATTCCCAAATATTATTCCCAAAAATTGAATAGTAGAATTTTATATTTAATTTTTTTAATATTATTTTAATTTATTAACATACTTTTGATGATTCACAGTGAAATAGTTGTTCAGCAGCAAAATATGGTTGTAAGTTAGTTATCAAGAACAATACCCTAGAATTGTAAAGAGCTGGAAGTTCATCATGCAACTCACTATTAATAAGATCAAACTTCCGCTTCACTTCGTCAAACTGTTCTTTAGCTTTTATCATTTTAGCTTCATCTTTTTTCTTACCAGCACCATTGCTGGCCAACTGATTACTATGTCTCTGACTGTCATAATCAACTAGTTTCCTATTACGTTTATCAATCTTTTTCTATATATAATATAAAATAATACTATTTAAAAAAAATCACAACATTTAAATACTTGAAAAAAACCAGCAATCAAATATATGATTATTAATTTGAAAATTGCCAAATTTTAAAAACCTTACTCTTGTTTCAGCGAATTGAGCTTGATACGTGTTTAACGGAATGAGTACTTGATCAGCTAATTTGTGACTATAATCACTCCACAACATGTCCAGACTATTGGACTGAGTACACATATGATCATGACCAACCCATTGACTTTCATACATTTCATTTAATGTTTCCATAAGACTTTTACTGGCTACTTGGGCAGCTAGAGAATACAAATAATATTAATAGCTTAATATCACTTTTTTTTTGTTTGATCTTTGGAAAAATAATAATTAAAAACATCAAGAAATTCTAAAAAAAAAATTAGTGTAAGACATTTAATAACATATAACATCTTACCTCGAATACAACGAATATAGTTGTTAAATTCTTTTTGCAACTTATTAGCTGAATTTTGTTGTTTAGAAAAATTTTGCAAATGTTCATTGAAAATTTCATCTTCTGTCCTATCTACTTTTCCTAGGTTTTGAAGAAACTAAAAAATTATAATATGTTAGTTGACATATATTTATTTAAAAAAAAAAACATTAAAATAATATATGATTCACATATACTTGAAAATGTATTTATTTATGACCTATTATTGTAAGACAAATATTTCAAAATTTCTATATTTTATTAAAAAATTTCATTTTAAAATTCAATACAAAGTAATAATAATAAATTGCAATATAATTTGTACATAATAATAGGGGAGCACGTGAATGGTGCACACCTTAGTATCTCGTAACTAGTAATTTTAGGCTCAGGTTATAAAAAACAAAAATTATCATCTGGTTCTGTTCATTATGTGCGCAAAATTTGATAACAATATTATCATTATATTATTGCTAATAACCAAAAAATTAAAACGGGAGTCAATGATATAAACTTTTAAACTAAATGTTATGATTTAAACATATATTTTTAGACAATTTTGCTATCATTAATTCAAATATAAATTTATGAGTTTTTGATACGGGAAAATTTATGGGACAACATTTTTTTCCAACTGTCATGAGAAATTAATAAACGTGTTCATATCTATTAAAATATAGCTCCACATTTAAAAGAAAAATGTTTGAAAATTTAAAGGAGTAATTTGTAATTTTCCATCATTCAAGGTTGAACGACTTCAAATAAACATCATAACTCAAAAGTTCCTTTGATATTCTATTTCCTCATACAGATTATGATTTTAAATTCGAAAAAAAATAGTGTGCATCATAACTCATTATTGGTAGGGTAATTTCAAGGGTGGAGACCTTTTTTTCTTTTTTATTTATTAATTCTTAAATACATCCCTGCCTAAAATTATAAGAAATTATTAATTTATTATACTAGATTAAGTTATAATAGTAAGTTAAACCAAAGAAGGTTATACTTGAAAGTTCAGCTTCTTTTTGAAAAATGACACTTAAACTCAATTTTAAAGATCCAAAAATTCGATTGAACTTGATGGATAATTTCTAAAATTTACATAAGGCTTATTAAAACTTATGAGACTATTTTAAAATTTTTTTCAAAAATATATATTTTTGGCTTTGATGCGAATTTGAGAAGGTATTAGTTTTGTGATGGTGTGTTTTATGTGTGTCAAGGAAAGTCCTTATCTCTTACAAAATCGATTTTAATGATCAATACGCTAAAAGACACCGGTTTCATTCTAGTTGAAACTATTAAGCCAAAAATTTGAAAAAAAAACCCTCAATTTTGGAAATTTAATAAAATATCTCAAAATTACGTGAAAATTGGTATTTTCAAAAAACTTTTTCTGCATTATAAAAATTATGTAACTTTATTTTAAAACACTGAACCAAATTAAGTATACTAGAAACAATAAAATTTCTTTTGGTACGCTTTTTCTGAAAATCCCATGACAAACCTAAGTACAGGAAGGGATTATAAAAGACCACCCGCACGCATATAACATTTTTGTGTTCCAGAAGGTCTAACAACTTCTAACTTATATCAAATTAAAGATTTTGAAGTGTACTACAATGTTAAAGCGATTCTATTATGTTCTACAATGTAAAATCGTACTTCAAAGCATAAAAATTTGTTGAAAATATCTCGGTTCGTCTGTCTTCTGAAAACCCAAATCAAATATAAGCTTTTCAGCAAATAATTTAATATTCGAGTGAAATTTTAAATCACAGAAATTGAAAAATTAAAAATGTACAAATTATGAAATTTAACAGTTTTTTTTTAATATTTTTATTGTATCGAATTATGTTTTATGATAGTGATTTTAATCATCTATACTTTGTATCATTTAATTACTAATTAATATTTATCTCAAAAACTAGTTGTGATGGAAAAAAATCTGAAGCCAGATTCGAAATCAGCTTTAAAATTCTATATAAAATACATATAAATATTGAACAGAATAAAATTCTTTTTGTTATTTATTGTTTATTATTATTTTTTGAAAATAACAAAAACTATTAAACAAATTTATTTTTGCAAAATAAATATAATTGTTAGAATTTAAATGAAAAGTTACATAAATATAAAGTTATATCAATTAGTTCCCCAAGATAGAATCAATCGATTAATAGAAACATAATATAATTAAATAAACAATGTAAATAAATATCACAATTATGATTGCGTGAGTGGTATTTAAGTCGTGTGATTACCTAATATAAACGACAATTAAATGCGTAAACAGTTTGACACATAGGAGATCCATTGTACTCTAACGGAAAACCATTTTGTCATTGAATGCCAATCGGTCTAATCAGCACGTACATTAGACGGTACCATAGCAAGTAAAACTTAACCACTATAACGATCCATTTGCTTTGTATTGCAATATAATATACTCCAATAAATAAAATTACGAATATTTTGCTGAATAATAGTTTCCTATAGTGAAAATTAAAAATATATAATAATAAACCGTTATAAAAATAGTTCCGTAGAAGATAAATTTTGTTATTTAAGAAGACCTTGTTAATAATATATTGACAATAATTCGAACTGCAATAATACTAGTAATATAATGTATTGGCGATTTGGAGAAAATCAAGGTCAAATTTTACTACGCAACTTCTTTTACGTTCGGCATATATTTTTAACATTTTTATTATAAAAACCACATATTAAAATAGCACGATGGTATATTGATTTTAAATTATTTGTTAACATTAATGACTAGAAGAAAATTTTACGAGAAACCAAAGTATAGCAGAGGAAACAACAGCAGAACATTGGTAAAGTTCTACGATTTGGACTAAATCTTATCAGGTAAACAAAATCATTTAACATGAACACATTACTTGTCGGTAATAATCAAAAACATGTTTTGACAGTGGATGATAGCTATTACTTATTATACTATCCACAAAATCAAAGAAACGGGTCAGATAATACCATGTGTAAAAAAACAAAATAAAACACTGAGGTAACGGTATGTCTTCAACAGCAGTCTACTTTGGGAAGTACTGAACAAATTACAAAACATCGCATTTTATCTGTTATTTTATATTGAGAAAAATACAATTGTCCATTGCAAAAACAGTTAAGGCGTTATATGTAGATTTTGTGCGGCTTGTTTTTCTTTTCAAACGCTCCTACATTATGAAGTTTTTGTTTTCCATTAAACCGACGTGGGTGGGGACACAGTAAGTAAACTGTGTGTGGGATATCTTATGATTGCTTAAATCCCGTTACGTAAATATATAGCAAAAACCTTTCATCAAAATTATGTAAAAAAAGTTATTCAAAGTTCACGAAATATCTTCAATTTTTTTTTTCAAAACTGAAAATTTTACTACTACACGAGTTATAGAAAATATAATGATCTAAAACATATGCAACCCGTCTTATGTGTTCGAGTACACGATTACATATTGTAGAAAAAGCGAATTATTTTGTTTACTTTCTGTTTTTGTTGTAAGCATACATTTTTTTGTGACTATCTGTTATCATATTATCAATAATCGTAAACATTTTGGTAGATAAAAAAGTTCTGAAGAACTGTCTACAAAATATTAATAAAAAGTGTTTATCTTTCAATGAGATAGTAAAAAAAATCATATAGCCCTCAAAATATTGAATAGTCAAACAATTGATATTTATTAGTCGTAGTTGACGTATGATTACTTGTTGTATTAGTTTATTTCCAGCAGGCATATAATGTATAACTAACCATTCAAACAGCTATGAATCAAATTAATAATATTTGTAGCAATAAAGCCAAAGGCAAAACCATAATGTAACCACACATTGCGTTAGTTATTTACAAAGACATAGACAAACAAATCAATACGTATTAACTTTGCTTTGACAAGGCAATACTACAGGGATTAAACTATTGATTTTTATGTTCAATGAAAAATTATTAAAATTATGTAATGTAAAAATTATAACAAGTTCTAATTATGTTCTTCCATTAAAAGTCATAATTTAAATAAAGTATTTTCAAATACAAATGTACTACTATAGTTTTTAATTATCTAAAATCGAAAACGCATACAAATATTTTATAAATAAGGAAACAACAACGTCTCATAATTTATTAATGATTATATTATTGCTTAAAAAAATAAGATTACATAATTGATAGATTTTATTTTTACAATTATTAATTTTAAAACAAAAAGTGTACTAATCAGTTATTAAAAATTATTTATCACAACATAAGAAAAACAATATAAAAAAGAATATTTTATCAAAAGCATATAAATTACTTTAACTTGTATTCCGCGATGAATTATACATTGTAATTGAAAAATAATAATTTTACAACCGTGAAAATATATAAAATTATATTTCAATGTATTTCCATTCGCCATAGTGCAGAAAAAGGGAAAATCGTAGGTGAAGTAGTTGTGCCGATCAAATATCCAAACACGTAGAATTCACATTGAAATTTTAAAACTTTTAATAAATTAAAATCTTCTAAGTTTAAATGAATAAAATTATGATTATAGATACAAATCTGAATCGATAAAGAAACTCAGTACTATAAAAGAAGTATCGCGCAAGTTAGATTGTCGGAACTTGAATATTTTTTAAAATATTCATAAATTGGCTTATACATTATTGTTTACTATGGAGTTAAAAAACAGATGATTATTAATAATTCTAAAAATTAATGTATAATAGTAGGAGTAGGTATTAAAAAAAATGAATCTTAAAAGCAACTGGATCAACCTACGAATGTTGCAAGATTAGAAGACACGATTTAACGACTTCTACTATTACTAAAATAATATTATGTTGTCAATTACAAAATTAAACAACCCTTTCCGTTTGGATATAATCAATTGTCAAATACTACTTGTATTAAAAACCTCTGCGCTAGTAATATTGAATTTAAATAAACATTTCAATGCAAAAATAAAACTATGATTTTTACTAATCTAGATTATGTGTACTAGAAAAATTATTACAAATTTAAATATTTACAATTTTTCATAAAATAGTTGATCTATCAAGTTCAAGTACATGCTGCTGTTTGACTGAGGATCAAAAATAAATTTAAAC